AATCGTCGGAGTGACCTCCTCTTAAGGATCAATAAAAAAAAAAAAAAAATATAATTTTAAATACAGTTTAACAATATTGTTTTGGTAAAAAATATATACTTTTTGATGATATTAAATAGATACAAAATTAAAATAAATATAGGTAATAGGTACCTAATATATAGATAAGCTGGTTGATTAGAAAGTCAGGAGCTTTAATTTGATATATAATGCAGATATTCTAGTGTAATTATTATTAATGTATTACATAATAATCAAGGTCTAAAAAAATTAATCAATTTTTTTTTTTTGGTTTTTTAAAAATTCAAAAATATCTATTTTGTAAAGTTTTCAGAATAACCTACTTACGTGGAACCTTGTTCTACGTTTCCAATCCATTGCTATGAAAGTTGAATATTTTATACATTTTTAATTACAAAATCATTATTTTCATCTGCCTTTGAAACAATATATAAGGAGCCTCCTATTAAATTTTTAATCTTTTTACCCAAAAAATAAATTGGTATTGATATTTATAGAAAAAAAAAAAACTAAAAAAATTGGAAACTGAAAATGTCTATAAACAGCTCAAAATATTTTGAAAGTGTTATGGACTATAGTGTATAGAAAATGCTATAGTATAAACATTGAGTCAAAAATGTCATGTATTTAAGATCATTTGTTTTAGAGTTACACCAAAAGCCGAAATCGATTTTGCGTAAAAATTCCCGTTTTTCCTTACTTTTTATTTTGTTTTCCTAGGTGCTTTTGAAAACTTACTTTACTTTTGACCCCCCAAGTGGCCAAGTACCAAGTAGATTCACTTTCCTGTCAGAAAAGATACTGTTGAAGAAAATCTATGCATTTGTACTGACCTTAAAGGTAATGACAGACACAACAAAATTTAAAAAAAAAACTCATATTATATCATACAATAAATTATGATGATAACAAAAAAATTATTTAAATGTTTGGCATCAACAGCATCTAAATTGTGAATACAAAATGAAAATAGTCTATTATAATATATTATTTTTACATCTTATTAGGTAAAATAAAAATTAAAAAACAAAATGAAAATGAATATATATTATTCTTACCTACGTTGGCTACATTGCCTACATTAAAATATTATCAATGTAATTTGTGATTTCCAATGAACAATTGAGCTAGATAGGTAGGTACTTAAAAATGTTAATCACCCTTCTGCTTGGGAAAAATAAAAAGTTGTACACAGTAAACTGTGTTAAAATTGTTGGACATTATCAAAACTTATTCACATAAATGTTAATAAATATAATTTTTTTATGGTAATAAAATAATTAGGCGTGGCTACATGATTAAAAATTAAAATATGCTAATATTCTGTTTGAAGAATGTATATAATATATTATATTGTCTGATGTATAATATCCGCTACAAGCAAACAAGTTATTAGTAATAGATTTATAAATCCAAAAATATTAATAACAATATTTAATATTGTGGTAGGTAGGTACATGATATTGGTACCTATAACGACTATAACTTATAAGCTACAAATCATTGGTGCAAATAGGGGGGGGGGGGGGGGAGAGGACTTAATCCCCCAATTCAAAGGTCCGTACTTAGTACTAAGCATTTTATAATTTTTAGAAAATAATATAGGAAGATCGTGAGGGTTTAGTCAACCGCCAAAATATTGGGCTATTTGCGCCTATGCTACGAATAATAATATATTATACTTAAACTTTTTGTAAGTCGAAAAAAACACTGGTTCCTGTTATATTATAATAGTTCGATACTTCGAAGCGATTATTTTATTGTTAGCCACTAAATTTTACAGTTTTTTACGTTTTTTTTATGTTTTGAGTTGTTTTCCATTGTTGAGACAGATAAAAATCATTACAGAGTGATATATTATGAACATTGTATAATGTATATTAGATATTTGATACAATGGTCAATGGTGAATGGGTCACCAAATAAATCATGGATCCACTTGTCACTTACCTAAGTTATATTATGTTGCAGGTGCCAGGTATTATAGGTACACTGTTTATAGGCGAGGAGTATTACGTAAATATTATATTAAATATTAATCAATTAAATTAATAATTAATTATGTAACAATCAAAGATTTAACAATGTTGTTTTAATAATTCCAGAGTATACCTACCAATCCTGACCTAATTTGTTCTAATATGTTAATAGTTAATATGGCTGAATCCTCTAATTTGACTTTGTAGCATATAATTTTATAAAGTGCATGGGTTTGCTCAATTCACGATAAAATAATTTTCTAATAATATTGTATAATTTTTATTTTGAAACAAACCTTTTTTTTTAGTCTTAGTTATTTAAATAGTTAATAGTGCCTTTTCTTACATGGTATGCATTATGTAACAAATATGAATAAAGTTCAATTTTGGATTTGTACCTACGTGGCCCGTGGGAAGTACATATGAGGTTAACAAATATCTGTAGTGCCAAACAAAGCAATATAGGCTAAATATTACGAACTAATAATTACATCAAACGGTCAGGATATTGTATTAATTGTAGGTACATTTGTCATTTGCATGTCTATTAAAAATCATATACCTAGATAATAATTTCATAATTATTGTCACGTGCCATTAAGCCGTGAACGTATACCTACAAAATATGTTGTAATTTTTTCTTTCTGAAAAGTATTGTTTTGTGGGACTTTGTTATATTATTATTTATTATGGATTCTATAATAAAAGTGTTTGCCCCCGGCCCAACAGAGTGCAAGCACTGGAAGCGAATGGCTCCACCCCCGCGAGCATGCCTATGAGCTGCGCATTTATGCACAGACGAAAATTAAAGCTGCGAATTCCAGTAGGAGGGGTGATAAAATGTATCTGATTTTAATTGAGAAACATATCGAATATTATGTTTCAAAATCAAAAATGTGATAATCGGGGATAAACGCATGAAATATTCGGGTGGGTGAGGTTTGAAAAAATTGTATAATCTTTGTACCTAATGCCTATTGTTATACCTATATTAAATGATAGGTAGGTACATAATTGGTATTATTAATATTTTGTGGGGAGGTTAGCCCTTCGCGGCGAAACGGTCGCGGCGAATGGTCCGGCGGCGAAAAAGTCAGCGGCGAAAAAGTCAGCGGCGAAACGGTCTGCGGCCAAAAGGTCTGCGGCGAAACGGTCGCGGCGAATCGGTCGCGGCGAAATGTCCGGGTTCGCAACATATTGTTGGCAAAATTGACGTCGATGAATTCTCACGTGCAACGTGCAGGAGGTTGTGACTTGTGAAGTTGTAGGCAGTTGTACATTTTATTTTCTGTTGTTAACATGTCGTTAACCACCGAACAACGTAAAATTGTACTATCCGAAAGTTTGGCGGTTAAACTTTTTATTTTGAAAAAAAAACGCAAACGTAATCCGCCGCATCAAATTTATAAAGATATTTCATCATTTGTATTCAGAGCTTCGAGCTGATGATAATTTATTCTGTTCTTACACACGAATGAGTACAAGTACTTTCGACTACATAAAAGAGGAAATTGAAAATGAATGTTACCATAAAACAACCAATTTTAAAATACCAATTTCTGTGGAAGAGAGACTGATTATTACTTTAAGGTAAGCACATTAGTTTAATAAATAACAAATCAAAATGATTAATAGTTTTGATATTATATTAACAATAACATAATATATTAAAATATAAAACTAATTTAATTAAACTAAACTAGATTCCTGTATAGCAGTATTATATTAGCATTATACTAATTAAATAAAAAATAAAAACTTTTAACTTTTAAAATAATAAATTATAAAAAATAACTAAATAGCAGTAACTTATATTAAATTAATATTGTAATGATTAAATAAAAAATAAAAACTTTTAACTTTTGAAATAAGAAATTATAAAAATACATTTTAATTTTGAATACTAGAATGTGTGTCGTCTGGATACTGGAAATTTGGTGGTATGGAAGTGTATGTTGGATGTACGGTAGAGGCTGATGGAATAATGTAATTTTGGTTATGTGAATTTGTTGAGCCGAAGTATTGCTGTGGTGGTACACTTTCACGTATCAAAATATTTTGGATCTCGTTTCTCACTCGTAATTTTTGGATGGGGCTCATTTTTTTAAAATACGGAAGAATGGATTTAAAAAAATGCATATCATCTTCGTCATCTGGAGCGGGTGATTCAGTTAATGCAGCTAGTTTTCGAGTTTCAAGATCAATCAGTTGTTATTCAAAAGTATTGCCCGTTTCTTGTTTTTTTGATCTCTTATTTTTTTTTTAGTTGTCGTAAATGAAGTTGATGGGGGTGATGAAATATTATAATCATTTGTAGAAATATTTACTTCTAATGACTGGTCAATGTCCTCGAGTTCGTCTTGTTCCTCATTGATGTCTTCTTCAACCTCATCTACGTCTACATCGGATATATTTCCGTCACTTATTCTTGGTGTGACTGTGTCCTTCAAAAATAACATCGCACGAAAATAGCTCCATCTGCCTTGATATAGCGCAGCATATTCTTGACTGCTTCCAGAACGACTGGAAGGGATTTTTTTAAATTCTTTTAAAAATTGATCTCGAAGACTTCTCCACTTTTTTTTAACATCGTCTTCTGTGGAAATTAAATTTAAATATTGTGCAAAATGTGTAAACCAATAATTATTAGAATTAAAATTAATATACCAATATAAGTACCAATTATTTGAACAACATTGAATCTTATCATTTATATATTATCATAAAATTTAATGCAAGGCTCCTGATATAATGTTACAATAGCAGTTGAAAAATATTAAAAATACATAGGCACAATTTTTTTTTATAAGCATTTAAAGTTCGAATTTTGACAAAATTTATCAAATTTAATATTTAATAATTATTTTGTAGTTAAAAATTCATAAAATGTTTCAATTTATCAACTTTTATAGCTAAGGGTTGAAAATTTAAAACAAGGTTCCACGTAAATAGATTATATTTTTTTCTATAAGCGTAGAAAGTTAAAATTTTTAAATATTAAGTTATTTTAAAATATTGAAAAAATTCGTCAAAATCATGAATATTTGCAAATAATTTTGTAGTTCAAAATGTATACATTTTTTTTATTCATAGAATTGAAAATGTAATACAAGGTAGTCCATAAGTTTTGCTTTCAATAGTTATACAAATTGAGGCTTATATTATATATAATAATGTACATAATATAAAACTTAAATAAATAAATAAAATAAATAAATATATAAAAATATAAAAATAAAATATAAATACTGTGACACACCACTAGTTAAATTTTTAAAATTTTAAATACAATATATATTCCAAATTTTTTTTCCACAGATATGGAATATTGCTACTGGTTTAGCTTTTAGGCAAATTGCTTTAACCTTTAGAATTTCAAAAACAGCAGTGTCTTCAATTGTTATCGAAATTTGTAAAGCAATTTGGAAAATATTGAAAGAAAAACATATGCCCACACCTACGATAGCTGATTTCGAAAAAATTGCACAAGAATTTTATGAAAATTGGAATTTTCCAAATTGTGTTGGGAGTATAGACGGCAAACATATTCGGATAAAATGTCCAAAAAAATCCGGTAGTATGTTCTTCAATTATAAACAGTTTTTCTCTATTGTTTTGATGGCTGTTGCAGACGCAAATTATAAATTTATTATGATTGACGTCGGATCTTATGGAAAAGATAGCGATCTAGGTATATTATCAAATTCAAATATTTTAAAACGTCTTGAAAATAAAACTTTGAAGCTACCTTATCCTAAAAAACTACCAAATTCGAAATTAATTGGTCCATATACTTTCATTGCTGATGAAGCATTTCTTTTGAGAACATACATGATGCGACCATACCCAAGAAGGTTACTAAATGATGAAAATAAAAGTTACTTCAATTATAGACTATCCAGAGCACGAATGACAATAGAATGTGCTTTCGGTATAGCAGCAGCAAAATTTAGAATTTTGCAGAAGTCTATAGAGACAAAGGTAGACAATGCTGATCACATTGTAAAAGCAATATGTATGCTGCACAATGTGATTATAGATTTGGAAAAAAAAGGAGTAGCAAATTATATGGACTCAGATATATCAAACCAAATTAATAATTTATCCAGCGATTTAGCAGTAAGTGTGAGAAATAACAAAACATCCAGAGCAGCAGAGAATATAAATAGTAATTTAAGCATTTTTTTTTCCAATAATAAATTGATAAATAAATAAATAACCGATAAATATTGTTTTATATTATAAAAATTATTTTTTCTCTAAATTTTAAGGAAAGTATTGCTCATAGGAACTAATTATATTATTACTATTATTATTTAATTTTTTTATTATTCCTAATTATATTATTCCATAAAATATTAATATATTATATAATAAATAATAATATTGTAATAATAATATATTTCTTTAGCTAGTTTATTCATTATTCAGTATATAATTTTAAATTAATTTACTTGACATTCCAAGTTCTTTGGATACAGAGTCCCAATGCCTGTCTGTCACTACCCGATCTTTAAATTTTGGATCCCATTTATTCCAAAGTACCGATCTTTTTTGTACTTCGGAAATAAGAAGATCCATTTTTGTAATACAAAAAAATTAATCTAAATAATCGACAGTATGTCTTGACCGCACAAAGTCGCGTTGGAAAATAGAACAATAGAACATGCTCTATTTTGTGCGGTGCGTTAATACGCATCGCACGCATGTTACGGCCAGTTAGGACATGTCCGTGTACTTTGTAGCAGTTGGTTTTATTTGCGTGCACGCATCGCCCGCAACACACGCAACGCACGGATTCAGTTAGGCTTAGGACATAGCGTTATTTTATGATTTATTCCGCAGTCATTCGTCGCCTTTAGTGCTTGATGGCTTGAATTTTTCTTGGAACATACTCTTGGATACTACTTTTGGATTATACTCTGTATAATCGACCAATGAGGTTTTTTATTTAAAATATATATTTTAACGATTTTTAGTCGTTAAATCTGTAAAAGTTGATTATACACTCAACACAACGAAAAAAAGAAACAATATTTTCTTGTGTTCACAAAATATGTTTATTATAGTAGAAAAGGCTGCAAATTAGAAAAAAAAACGAAATTTAAATGTGTGAACAACAATTTAACAATTTAGAATTTTGAAAGCACTTAAGTTTAAAGAAAAAAAAATACTACGACGGACAGGATAGACACAATAAACAAGGGGGGGAGGATGCGAGATGGCGATTGGTGCAGAAATGCAGTGTTGCTGGCCACTGGTCACCTCTGCACGTTCTCCGACCTGTCCCCGCGGGTTGACGAGTGTCCCTGGCGCGTTTGCTCGGACGCTTGACGACCTTGCCCAGCCGGCGAGGCCAGACCGAGACGGCCACGGGAGCGACCACGGTTGAAGGCGACGGACGGCTGCTAGTGCGCGATGTCTTGCGCGTACCGACGGTCGACGGCGTGACGACTCGGCCGACGGACGGCGAAGACCGAGACGCGGAGCGAGCGAAGTGAGATTCTGTGTTGCGGAACCGGTGGGGACGACCGAAGCGGCCGACTTGGGATTACCGCGGGGCGAAAAGGCGAAAGCCAGCGGACCACAGCGTGATCCTCGACTCTCGGTAATTTTCGACCTGCAGGGCGATTCTCTAAAAGTTTTAGTCACACATTTAGTCATTGTTGTGACTAAAACAGTTAATTTAGTCATGCATTTAGCCATAGACGATTTTTGCGATTCTCTAATCATTATGGACTTAAAATGGTTTAAGACCGTCTTAATTAAGTGACTGAATGTATACTTTTGATTTGGCGTTAAATAATGTTGCATTATGCATGACTTAAACAATTGTTATCTGCTAAATAGATTTTATGATAAAAAATATACCTATTTTATTGACTTTGCTATTGTTTTATAATTATTATTTGATGTGTACAAGTACCTACTCTGTTTTAACTTCACCATTAATTTTTAACATCGTACATTATAATATTTAATATTACTTTTTGTTTGTAGTGAGTATTTAATTATGGCGTTTATAGCATATGCGTTATTAGATGAAATAGAAGACCATGAGCGTAATAGGGCTTTTACTCTCCATAAATCTGTTTTAAGAGACAAATGTAATCCGTTTGACTTAAGTGACTTTAATTTTAAAAAACTATATAGGCTTACCAAAAACGACGTTTCAATGTTAATTGAGCACCTTAGGCCAAACCTAACTAAAATTAGGAAAAATGGTTTAAGTGTTGAAGTTCAAGTAAGTTTAAATCTTTACTATATCTATACGCTTACTTATATTAATTTGTTATGACTTACAAATTATAATATATATATAGGTAATTAAATATGTGTCATAAACTATAGTTTACATCTTAAATGTATTATTGAATTTAGGTATTTGTCACAATCCAGTTTTTAGCAACCGGTGCATATCAGAGGGGAACAGGTAATGATTCTTTGTACCCGGTTAGTCAGCCGAGTGTAAGTAGGTGCATTACCAAAGTAACTGCTGAAATAGTCAGAATCTTTGCCGCAGACCAAATACGCTTCCCCCGAAATCGAGTTGAGAGGGAAAAAATATCGAATGAGTAATTATTATTATTGATTATATTTTTTATTATATAATAAAATATACCTAGTATATACTTACTGATTATTACCTATGTAATATCGCCTTTACCAATTTTTTTTCTGAAAACATATTCTTACCTACTATCCGTAATATAGTAATATACATCGTAACACGATTAAAGTATAAACTCACCCATATTTATTAATGTAATATACTAATATATGTTCGTAGTTAATTTTCTATGCACACGCTTCAAGTCATTCTAATGTCATCATGTTATATAACCATGCCTATATTAATATCCTTAAAACACGACCGATTGGAGCCCCCCCCCTTAACATAATTATTCTTTGTCTGATTTTCCGTTAAATGAGTCTTAAATTTTAAATAATATGATAAAATATTTATTAAAGATTTGAACAGTTAAGCCGCTACCCTGGAATTTTAGGGTGGATCGATTGCACACAAATTGCAATTGTAACCCCTATGGAGCGTGAAGAGGCATACAAAAATTTTAAAGGCTTCTATTCGTTAAATGTGCAGATGGTAAAATATAATAATTATAGTAATATGTAGTTAGATATAGGTACTTACTTTATACTTATTAATATGGTACGAATTAAACAAATTAAATAATTCCTCCATTTAGAACATACATTTTATACATTCCTATAACCTCTAATGTTTATTAATAGTTTTAACATTTAATAAATGAATAGGTATGTGATGCAAATTTGCGTATCACTAATGTGTATGCTGATTTCCCTGGTAACAGATAATTGGTCGGATACTCGTTTTTTTTTCTTTTCCACACTATTACAAATACATTAGCTATTAATAAGGTGGGCGACGTGGGCGAGTACATAACAGTACCCCTTGTTATTAAAGGAATATATTTTACATATTAGATATTATTAATACAACATTAGATGGTTGAATTAATTTATGCCAAAAAAAATACATTTGAAAATGTCATTATGTGAGTATACAATATAATAATATAGGTACTTTAAATTTCAAACGTGCTATGAATATTTAATATTTTTCAACTGCTTTTATTACAACTTATGAGAAATCTTGTATTCAATTTTCAAGCATTTTGACCAAATCAAAATTATTTTAGAAAAAACTAAAAAAAAATTCAAATTTTAAATTGTAAAATCAATAAGTTCATCGCTCCGCTTAGAATCTAAAAAGTTAACATATAACAATTTTGATTAAAATAAATAAAATCATATTTCACATTTCAACACTGAACTATTAATATCAAAAATTATTGTCTATATATTAAACTTACTTTTGAGAAGCCATTGTATTTTATATTTTTTGCTTTAAACAAATAAAACCGAAAACACGGAATGGTGAACACTGAACAGTAAAAATATCATAAATTAACTCGAACAAAAAGGAGTAATATTATGTTAAATGTTTATAATATTATGTAAGACGATTAATGTTTTTCAAAAATTATTATCATATTATATCAATATATCATATCATTTAGTGATAACATGGTAAAATAACGTTGGCCCCACTGTATATTATACAATATTATTGTGATCACATTAAGTCATTAGATATTTTAGACACTTTCATACTTTTAGCCGTTTGCAATTAAGTCGTCTAAATTATCAAAGTATAGAATCGGTAAAATAAAAATACGCCAAAATTCGAGTGACTTAATATTCACTGACTAAATATTTTTAACATTTAGTCACGAAATAGAGAATCGCCCTGCTGGCGTCGTCCCTTCGGCCGCCGCGCGCCGCCAGACCCTGAAACGGTTAAGTTTCTGCGGGTCCGGCGCCGCTGACGTCCCCGTGTTCCTAGCACGCAAATCTCCGCACCACTCACCCCGTGCCCAGGTATCCGCCGCTGCCGTCGTACCGAGTCGGTGTACCGTCGGGGCGGAATCGTTGCCCGGTACCTCTATACTAGCCGCCGTGCCGTCGCCGTCGCTCCGCGTGACCGTGTATGCGGTCGGCGCTCGCCGAGCCGCCAGAGCGTCTCGCGCGTCATCGACGACCGAGCTCGCCACGCCAGCTAACCCGTCGCGCCGCGGGTACAGGTCGGAGAACGTGCGCGGGTGACTTACCGCCGCGCACCGTCCGTGCTCTTTCCCGCATCCTCCCCTCCATTCCGTCGCCGTCTTCCTGTCCACCGTCTTCGCCCAGCTTCGGACGTCTCCTTATCGGCGGCAGAAGCAGCAAAGGCTGCGGAAGAAGCGCCTCAGGCTCTTCCACCTCTTTGGAGGCGCCTTGCCGTCTTCCAGTACAGTCGTGTCTTGGTCACCGCTCGGCATTCCTCCACCGTGCGAGGAGACAGTCTTCTCGACGCCTTCAGCTGCCGACGCCTCTCCCGCTGCACCTCCGAGAGTCGACTAGTCGAGTCTCCGGACTCCGACTCCAGGGTCTGAACGTCACCAGTGGTGGTGACCGTGTCAATGGCAGACAGGATGGGCGCGACCAGACGAACGAGATATTCTTCCGTCTTATCGGAAAGAGCTCCTTCTATTTTGTCAGTAATAATGTCCTCCAACATTTCCATTAATAACACGTTTACCGCGGCGCGGTCGATGTCGCAGATGTTAGTTGCCATACTTTATATGTTTTGAATAACGAAAATAATTTTTGCGTGTACTTTAGGATTCGATCGAGAATTGGTAATGAGCTAAATAAGAATATTTCAACACATAGACCGATCTCCGAGAAAATCTCCCAGACTACGGTGTGTGTTACTAGCCAGCTAGTATGTTTATCGTTCTGATCGGCCCGCTGCATTAGAATTTCGAGCGCGTTAACAATAATAATATAATAAAAATTTTATTTTATTTGCAAACAATTTTTTTTTATATTTTTATATTTTTATATTAGATTCTGATCGGAGCAAGGAAGCTAGTGGTTTTACAATGGTGTTTATTTTTTTTATTTTTTTTTTTTATATCCTGTATACAAAATTTCTACCAGAAGGAATGCTTTGATTTCAACATATAGTCAGGGCTTATTCTAAAGCGCAGTTGGGC